GCCATTTTCCAGGGAGTCGAAGAGCACTGGCTCTTTCTGGGAGACTTGTAAGAATGCTACAGTTAATTTCACTATGGGATTAGCCTACCACTTTATCCTCCTGTGACTTCACTCTCAAAGAAGTGCCCCAGAAGGCTGGTGGGTTACCTGCTTTGGTGTAGAACACCACAGATGGTAGGCGGAATTTCCCTGGCCAGGTAGATCACTGTGGATGTTGGGCAGAGGTTCCTTCAGCATCTTGGAACGTTGATTAGTGTTGGCAGAGCTGCCTTCGGCCTTGTGAGACACTAAGGTAGGTGGGAGGAAGTTCCCTCAGTCACATGGTCCCACAGAGGAAAAATAGGAGCTCCCCCAGCCACACAAGCAGGAATTCCCCAGTAAGAAGTTGGGCAGAGTATCCCCTGGTGGAGGTCGGCAGGGCTTTCCCTAGCCTCGGGCTAGTTGCACAAGGTGGAGCTCACCTAGCTGAGTGTGGTGCAGACGTAAATGCCCTAGGCTAAGGGAGTGGTCTGGAGGTCAGCAGTGGAGTGTGAGAGAACAGGAAAGAGACAAAGAGGAGTGGGGGGAAAATGAAAAACTAAGCCTGCTGAGACTATGTGGGGATAGAGAGAAGAGAGGGAAACAAAAGTAACAGTATAGGTGAGCCCTGATCCCTGTCAATGGGGCATCAAGCATTTAATCCCTGCCTGGAGGCGGCAGCAAACTGTGGCTGCATTGAGATTAAGTCCCTGCACTGGCTCTAAATGGTCCTGGCTCCAGCCGAGACAGTGGCGGAGCTAAGGTCAAATCCTAGCCAGCCTCCACAGTGGTAAGCCCAAAGTCCCCAGCCCCTCTGGATTTGTGCCTACTTATCTTTATGATGCTACTCCTGCGATCCATCAGTGTTGAATTTCCCTCTTAGTAACTCTCATGGGCTTATTTCTGCAGAGTCCCTCTGGTATGTGTTACTCCATTGCCATCTTCCCGGAAGTCTATCTTTTTCATTTTGTTCCATGCTTTACACCCACTATATCCAAGACCTTCTAATGTGATCCCTTTCAGAGAAGTTGGTGCTGATTGCAGTTGGTAGTTGGTAGTCATAGCTAGTAGTGGTAGTTGATAGTGGTAGCCAGGTACCCATCTAGTTCTTCAGGCCTCAGGGTTGTGGGGACTGATGTTGGTGTGGTCCTTTAGTCCATTGAACTGAGTGTTGAGTGGAAATGCCTTTGACTGCAAGGTCAATCTAAGTGTGTTTGGAAAGGCTGCCAAGGAATCCTGGAACCTGAGTTGTGCATCAGAGGAGTCTCCCTGAAATAGTCTTGCCTCAGCATCCCTTCAGGCTCAGTCACTAGTTAGGCCAGATACCAACTAGGTGGTGATACAAGCCTAATGATAGATTCCATAACTCAGTGGCTGGACTCTCCATCAATCACACTTCCTTCCATCAGAGATCTAAGAGATACAATTTCATGACTATACAACCAGGACTTGTGATCCTTATGTGAAGAGAAAGGGCAGTGCTGGTTAAGTACCACCATGCCTGGTCACTGCCCCTCGTCCCAAGCCTCCACCCACCCATCTATCAGTGAGGTTTATCACAGAACAGGCTTCAGTGAAATAGACTAGGAAGAAAGGCCTGGCAATCAACTTCCAGAAATCCACCAGTAAAAACCCTATGGATCACAGTAATCTGATTCATAGTCAGCCCTTGGGATAATGCAGGATAGGGGGTTACTGTGAGCTGGGACTGGCTTGATGGCACCTAATAGCAACAACAACACAGCCAAACTTCCATCAAGTTGATTCCAACTCATAGTGACCCTGTAGGGCAGGGTAGAACTGCCCCTGTGGGTTTCTGAGACTGTAACTCTTTATGGGAATAGAAAGCTTCATCTTTCTCCAGGAGAGCGGCTGGTGGTTTTAAACTGCTGAGCCGCCAGGGATATGAGTAAGGGACCTAGAGAGAGTTGACATCCCTTGACTTTCCTAGACCCTTTGGAACACTAATGACAAGCCTGTGCATCTGCCTGACACCTAGGTTAAGCCCACTCAACAACTACTCTTGCCTCCTGTGTCCCAGTTATGTCTGGGCATGGTCCTTCATTTTCACCTGCTCACTGGCCAACAAGATGCAGGAGCCTTAAACCGAGTGCTCCCTCTGAGAACAAATACATCTAGAGTGGACTTAAGGGATGTGACACCCAGAACTTCTTGGGGGTGAGAATGGAGCAAGGGTCCTCAGTCAAAAGGAGCAAGACACAGTGTTGCCTTTCCCCTGATTATGAACTTCCTAGAGCCTCTAAAAGGAGCCTCCCTTTGTGGGGTAGCCTGGAGGTCCACAGAAGGGCTGTTTTCCTCTGTATTGTCTGCCCCCATGGGCTCTAGGACCCTGAGGTCCTTAGGAGATAGGACTTCCTTACAATTTTTTCTGGGTCCTAGCAGGACAAAGCAGAGGTTGACAAGCAGGCCAGAGTGAACAGGGCCCAGGAATTGGCTCTGACCTCTTTCCTAGGAGAAAGCTGCCCTCTGGTGGCACAGCTAAATTGTATAACCGAGCGGGGAAGAAGGTAGGCCTGACTACAGAGCCTAGAAAAGAACTTTGAAAAATACAGTGGGACTGAAGCTCTTGTAGGTGATCTGCCCTCTGGAAGAACAATGAACGTTGACCAACTGACCACCATGTTCCAGGCCCTCAAGACAAATGCTGTCACCTTGCCAGTATCACCCTTGAGGATAAATTCTAGGAGCCCTATCTCACAGATGAGAAAACAGTACCACAGAGGTTTAGCAATGTGCACAAGGTCACACAGCTTGAAAGCAGACAGCCAGCAGAGAATTCAAGCATCTCTGTCTAGATCCAGCCTTCTCTTCCTGCCACTGTGCCATGCTTCTTTGAGCAGCAAAATCCACTCAGCACCACACACTTCCAGTGTCTGCCATCAAAGACTTCCCCCACTTTCCACATAGTATTAACACCTAATAATTTCTTAATTGCCTGGGCTCTACAACTCCACTCCCAACTGCCTTATTTCATGGCTTGATTTCCCTAGATTAATCAGGAGCTTTGTCTGATTCCTACCAATTACAGGCTTATCTCATTTTATGGCTCTTTGCTCTATGACACTTCACAGATAATGTATTTCTTCCCAGTTGAAGGTTTGTGGCAACCCTGCGTCGAGCACATCTAATGGGGCCATTTTTCCAACAGCGTGTGCTCACTTTGTGTCTCTGTGTCACCCTTTGGTAATTCTTGCAATATTTCAACATCTTCATAATGCCTTTGCACACTTAATAGACTGTGGAATGGTATAAACATAACTTTTACATGTACTGGGAAGCCAAAGCATTCATGTGACTCAGTTGATTCACACGAATCACTTTAGAGCAGTGATCCAGAACTAAAACTGCATTATCTCTGAGTTATGCCTGTAAATGTCTCTAAGCGTCTTTCAATTTCTGCCTTTCCTTCTCCTGGTTAGTGCATTACTCCAGCTTCTCCTGCATAGAAAGAAATAAAGAAAGAGAGAGAGAGAAAGAAAGAAAACCTCACTGCCATCAAATCAATGCCAACTCATAACAACCCTGTAGGACAGGGTAGAACTGCTCCTGTGGGTTTCCAAGACTGTAACTCTTTACAGGAGTAGAAAGCCCATCTTTCTCCCAAGGAGCACGTGACTGTTGTTTTCAAACTATTGACCTCAAGGGTCACAGCCCAATGTGTAACCACTGAGCCACCATGGCTCCTCCCTCACACACCAATGACTGTTTGTTTCATGTGTATGTTATTCCATTAATCTGGTATGCGCAGTGAGTCCCTTTCCAAAAGCAACCAAGACTAGGGAAGAAATGGGTGGGGGGAATGGCATTTTGGGGACACCTAATAGTACATGATGTGCACATGCTGAAAATTGTGTACAGATGACTTTACTTACTAGCGCTATCTCTGGGTGTGATAAAGGGTTAATGTACTCAAATGCTAACCAAAAGATTGAAGGTTCAGATATGCCCAGAAGTACCTTGGAAGAAAAGCCTGGTCATCTAGTTCAGAAGAATCAGCCATTGAAAACCCTATGGTGCAGAGTTGTACTGTGAACTGGAATGCACCCCACAGCAGCTGTCTGCTTTTTCTGGATTCCCGGCTGCAGAGAAGTGGTGACATGTCTCCGCTCACCTCACCATGACCCTCTGTGTCATTGTGTTGCCCCTAATTGCAGGTGAGAAAACTGCAGCTCTGAAAGATGCAGTAACTTGTCCAAGCTCATGAAGCAGTCATGTCAGTGCACGTCGCCGTGATGCCAGGCCAGCTCTCCTTTCACACCAGTAGCCTATGAAGAATAAGCTCCCTCACCTGGCTTGGGGCCTGAGATTGCTGTCTTTAGAGCGGAGACTGGGCTTTCTAGAGTTCAACCCATCTGCCAAGGCACCAATATTTCTAACATGTTCTTTATGTGTGACCAAAGAGAGAAGGTTCTAGAACTCTAAATAGTTTCGAGTTTTAGACTTGCTAGAGAGTACATGAAGAGGGGAAACATGTCCAAGCTAGACAAGAACTCAATCATGAGCATCCTGGAATGCCATCTTGTGGCAAATTTACTTAACTGAGGAGAAAAAGAAGTCTATATTCAATCAGTCCAAATCTTTACATTTGTAAATGATCAGTTCTTTGCAAGCACCATAGGAAAATTTCCCTTTATAGCAGCAAATACTTCACCACTGCTTTCTTCAAACTATGCACCAATGATATAGAGCATGTGCCCTTGTGTATGTTAAGATAACTATCTATGTATGTATACTTTTTATAGAAAAAGGAACCACACTATATACAATGGTTACTCCTGGGAGGGAAAGGGTATTTCCAGGGTATTTCTAAGTTTTTAATATTTTCAACAAGCAATTATTATTTTTATAATTTTTATAATTCTAGGCTTCTTGTTTGTTTGTTTCTGTTTGCTTTTTGTAGTACCGGGAAATCTTCTATTTGCCCTCTGTTTAAGGCTTTCCTGTTTTTCCTTCATTCTTAGGTGAACCAGTTCAGATAGCAGTGACCCTCGACATTGCCAGCATTTCTAGCATTTCAGAGAGTAACATGGTAAGTGTTGTCACCTCGTGTTTCATGGGAGGAGTCACAACTCTTGGTTTAACGGGGATACACATTCACACAAACCAGTCCAGGGCAACTAATAGCATCCACCTCTGATGCCAAGTTGTGTGTGATGGCTAACAAATCCCACTCCACAGGCCACCTGCATCCTAGGGGAATCTCAGCTTCCCCTCGTGTTCAGATCACCATATCCCTTAGTTCTCATCCCTAGACACCCAAGGCAGCAGGTACTGAGTGCACTGGAAGCCACATAACTCCCTCCACTTCAGACCCACCAACTCCAATACTCCTTTGGATTCTATAATTCACTGAAAAGGCTCACAGAGCTCACAAGAAACACCAAACTTGTGATAAACCTTTAATATAGCAAAAAAAGGTTACAGATAAAGTCATGCAGAAGGCATGATTTGGTATGTTTTCTGTGCATAGTCACAACAAATATTTGTTTGAAAAGACAAAACTGCTTTCTGCACCTCCCAACTTCCCAGGCGCTGAAGACAGAAGAGAAAGGCCTCCTCCATTCTGAAGGAGAAGCTAGAGACTTACCCCCAAAATCAAGATGGTGGAAGATGCATGTAAAACAGATTTCTGAATAGCAGGAAGAAAGTGGTTCAAAGGTCAGGAAGAGAGAAACCAGGGAGTAGAGTGGGAACATTTGACGAGGGGTAAAACTCAGGGAACAGTATGAAGGTCAGTGAGGAAGTCTGGCTCCTGTGCAGTCCTTCACAGAATGGGAGACAAACGGATCAAAACTAACACTGGGTAACTGCTCCCAGGGGTCTGCTCACTACAGCGGACAAGTCAAAGACAACATGAAACTAAAGGCAGTTTGTTCAAAAGACACACTGTTGATGGTGCTGGGCTATCAGAAAGAATAGTGTCTGGGATCTTAAAAGCTTGTCTGAAAATGAGCAGCCATCTAAGTGAGGCATCCACTAAGTCCACATGGAAGAAGCACACCAGCCTGTGTGATCCAAGGATTAGAAATTATAAAATCCAAACCCGAAGGATGGGATGGTATCAGTGCTTAAATTCTGAACACCTGGTTTGCAAACAGCTATGGATGAAAGTGGAAGCACCAGATCCATTTACAAGGTCACCACACAGATGAAGCACCCATTGAATCCCCTCTGACCATAGTCCGGGGATATGAATAGCCTTGCTGTTAGAGAACATTGTAATTTGTAAAGTCTATTATGGCAAATGTAATTAAGCTCCTATTTTCTGCTTTCTTTTCAATTGAAGTTTTCTCTGTCTTGTCACTGTTGCTATGTTTGTTTCTTTCTTGTTTGTGTTTTTATGACTTCCTGTATATGAAATTCAGGATAGATAAATCTGTTGAGACAGTAACTGGATTAATAATTACCTAGAGCCAATGCAGGGGAGGTAGGGCGGTAGGGCATGGATGGGGAGCTAACAACAATGAGTACAAGAAAAAACATTCTGATATCAATTGTGGTGATGATTGCACAAATCTCCTTAATAAGATTGAGTTATGAAATTCTATGCTATGTTAATTATATGCCAATAAAACTATTTTAAAAAGATGACCCACTGGACAGCCAAGCCCTTAGCTTCAAAATTTGATGGGCCCTATGTCATCTGGGAGCAACATGAGCTTCCATGCTAAATAAAGTAAGACTATGAACAGGGTCCTCTGGCATTCCTTTTGGGAAGTGGGAGTTATTATACAGAATAAATCATTTTTCACCCTTTGCTGCAGGCCACTGCCTCAAAACATAAGCTTATTCACCATCGTCTATTGTAGCATGTACTCTTGATCTAACATAATCTTTTTCCTTGCATTTTCATTTGCCTTCTCCTCCCACCTGACTGACTATTTTTCCCTGTTGACTCTTTCCCTCAGGACTACACAGCCACCATATATCTCCGGGAGCGCTGGATGGATCAGCGGCTGGTGTTTGAAGGCAACAAGAGCTTCACTCTGGATGCACGCCTTGTAGAGTTTCTCTGGGTCCCTGACACTTACATCGTGGAGTCCAAGACATCCTTCCTGCATGAAGTCACAGTGGGCAACAGGCTCATTCGCCTCTTCTCCAATGGCACAGTGCTGTATGCTCTCAGGTAATGGGCATCTAAGACCTCAAGGTTTCAGGGGAAGCAGCTGGAGGAAGCGGCATAGATACGGATTTGTTGAGTGGTTCTGACCAGCATGCCAACAACCATCCTGAGATCCCATACTCCTCCTGCTCCTGCTTCCTTAGATCTTCATCCCTGTAACTGAAAGACCCTCTCCCAGTGCAGTTTAGTTCAATGAGCATCTGTGAACACCTTCTCTGGGCCAGCCCTGTGCTGACTCCTGAGGATACAGAGCTGAATAAGATACTGCCCTGTCCTCCAGGACACAGGGCATTCCAAGGTACCAGTAGCCTGAGTTGGGAGAAAGCTGATGGTTTGGGGTAATGTTAGAGCAATGGTCCCAAAGTGGGATACCACCCACACCTCCAGGGGGCCCTGGGACAATTCAGTGGGGAGGGCTCTAAAAGCAGATGCCTACACTTTACCCTGGATCATCGGCTATAGTGGCAATGTTTTTCATTGCCAGGGGCACACAGAGTCATTTTGTTTCTAATGAAGTTTGGGAGCCTACGTGTTACAGGATGCTTGCACAGGACTCTGAGCTGAGTCCCAGAAGATAAAAGGGAGTTGTCAAGGGGAGAAGCCAGCAAGCAGCAAGAGAAAATGGAGAGCTGCATGCAAGGAGCTGGCCTTCCGTGGGGCTCAGCGGGACTAGGGAGTGTCCAGAATACACCTCTGTGTGGCTAGGTCACTTTTTGCACAGACAGAGAAAGGCCACCATCACCTACAACCTTTGTCTTCTCCTCAAATTCTTGAGGCCAAAAGTTCCTCCTATCCAACTGACCAAGTGGCTGGGGTTCTGGAACAGGAAAGATGTTCTAGGCACCTCATGAGGCAGCTCCAAGAGAGGCAGCCATCCCTGCCACTTAGACCTGTGCAAACCCAGACACCAAGAGGCCTTGGCAGAAGCCTAGGGACCAATACTCACAGGGCTTATCTTTAATCTCAAATTAAACAGGCAGAGACTGGAGGTTTGAAAGCAGGGCCAATCTAACTAACACTGGATTTCTGGATTGTTTGCCAGACACACTTTAGCTCTACTGGAATATACAAAGGCCAAAGTTCCAACTTCTCCTGTCCAAACCACCCCCCACTTCCTACTACAGTTAACACCAATGCCCCTCCTTCCCCATGTCTCCATAGTGTGTGTGTGTGGGTATGTGCGTGTGTATTCACATAACACTATCTTGTACACTGACTTGTATGGAATTAAAAATAGCAGATAGCTAACAGCTCTAGAATCAGACAGATTTAGGTGCAAGTCCCTATTCTGTCCCTTAGCAACTCTGTGACCTTGAGCAAGTTATTTGACTCTGAGTCTGACTTCTAAGCAATGAAATATGAATAGTATTTCCTAAGGAGCACACAGTGAAGCACTTAGCCCAGGGACTGGCGTGTGGTTCGCACTCAGCATATAGCGTCATGATTGTTATTCTCTGTCCCCAGTGTCACAGTGGTTCTGAGTTGTGCTGTAATCCAAAAGCTTAGAGGTTCAAAACTACCAGGCACTCTCGCAGAGAAAGATGAGGCTTGCTATTACCATATAGAACTACAGTCTCAGAAACTCATACAGACAGTTCTATCTTGCCCTGTAGGCTCACGATGGGTCCGAATTGACTCAATGGCAGTGAGTTCGCTCTTTTGGTTCCTTACAAAAGTTCAAGCACCTCATACTCAGACCACATCACTTCGCCTGAGCCCAGCACCAAACCCCAAACCCCAACTCACTGTCATCGAGTGAATTCCAATGCATAGGCACCCTGTAGGGTCAACTAGAACTGCTTCTGAGGTTTCCAAATCTATAAATCTTGATGAAAGCAGACAGCTTCATCTTTGTCCCACAGAGCTGCTGGTGAGTTTGAACTGTCAACCCAGGTGGTTATAAGCCCAACACTTAACCTGCTACACCACCCAGGTGCACCAAGTACAGTGCTAAATAAAGAATAGTTACCATAAAGTCAATTCTGGCTCGCGGCGACCCACATGAGTCAGAGGGTTTTCAATGGCTTACTTTTTTGTTTTTAACTTATAATTTTTATTTTATTTTTTTCAAAACCATCTTATTGGAAGCTACTACAGATATCATACTGTCCCATAGTTCCATCACATCAAGCAGTATTGTACAACAGCTACCACAATCAGTTTCAAAACTTTCCCTTCCTTCTTGAACTCCTTGATATCAGCTCTCCTTCAACCCTCCTCTCCGACTGTATCAACTGGGAACCCTTATTCTACTTACTGTCTCTGTAAACCACTAGGCCTTCTTCCAAGGCACCTCCAGGTGGACCAGAACTTCTCAGGTAGCGACTGAGTGCCATGCTTAATAAATCAGGAGTGCTTGATAAAGGAGGAGCAAATAAAGAGGGAAGGAAAGAGAGTGGAATACATCCTGGCCCACCAAGCCCCGAGGACAATATTCCTGCTCAAAGTAGCCAATGCACAGAGAGGACCAAAGGGCTGGCCCCACCAGGAGACATGACGTCCCTCACTGACCCATAGAGCTATGGGGGACAACACTGGAGGCACAGTGCAGGAATTGTGCCCAATCTGCCCCACAACACGGGAGTCAAAACGCTAAAGGCATACAACATAGCAGTAAGGGGAACAAAGCAGTGAAGTCCTCAGAGAATTCCAAAAATAGACTTTGAGGTCAAGGCTTGGCACTCCATCAGACTCGACCAGAAAATACTCCTAAAGATCAACAAACAGATCTGGAACTATTTCTAGGCTTTTCATTTTTTGCCAATGATTTTTTTCTTTTGTTTTGTTTTGTTCTGTCTTGTTTTTGTGCATATTATTGTCTCCACATATATATCTAGATAACATAGGTGGGATAAACAATCCGGAGGAGAAAACAGGACTGACAATTCAGGGAGGGGAATACAGGAAAGGGGGAAGGTTAGGGGGAGGGGGGGAAAGGGTGTCAACAAACCCAGGAACAAGGGAACAAGTGATCTAAAAGCAATGGCAAGGAGGCCATAGGATGCCTGGTGCATCTTGATCAAAGGCAATATAGCCGAGAGGAATTACTGAAACCCGAATGAAGCCAAACATGATAGTGAGACAAGAGGAAAGTAAAAGAAAATAGAAGAAAAAACTAGGAGGTGAAGGGCATTTATAGAGGTCTAAGTATAGGCATGTACATATGTAAATATATTTATATATGACAATGGGGAAATAGATGTATGTA